GTTGTTATTCTCTTAGACATATTGTATGGCCAGTATGACTTTTTTTAGATCGAATTGGCGTCACATAGATTCTGAGGGCCCGTATTACTTTCTGGAGATCGAATAGGCGTCACAAAGATTCTGACTGTAAGCTTATTTACTTGGTGATGACGTTAGTATCGGTGCCACGTATTGGCGTCACACAGATTTCGTCTGAGCGAACTGTCTCGCTATCCACGTAAATCCATTTCAGCTAACGAGGGTACTTCCCTGAGCACCTATTGGATACCATAGGAAAAACGTAATCGGATGAAAAGAAGTACCGACCTGTAACATCAATAAAGGAATTTTCAATGAAACGAAAACCACTTTCTGTGAAAAATCCAGTTCCGTATTATGATACTACTGATATAGAACAAAACAAACGAGTAGCGAGGAGGAGAGCAGTACTTTGATTCCTCGGTTCACAGTGGTGGGTGTGTCCATTATCTGCATTCCCGATTCCAGAAAGGGGCGTGGTGGAATCGCTAACATTAACGTATCATAGGGATGGGTGGAGGGGATCATACATGTTGTACAATACTGGGTACCATTCATTAAAATCAAATAGAGACGGGATTAGACGTTATTGCTTTTATCCAAAAATACCAGCATCTGCCATACAGTGTATAAGACTGGTATAATTCAAGTATCTTGATAAGATATTAGATTTTATATTTCAAGATAAATTCAGTTATCTTCATCTAAGCAAACATCAGTTGGACGTTCTGAACCATGCGCAGCATACATTTGGAGCTTGTTTCATGATTTGGCACGACTTGGGCGCCAGTTTTGTTGGTTGTGACCATTCTCCAATTGATGCTATTAATTGCTTGAGATTAATGTTTGGAAAACATGATCGTGTTTGTTAATTTGATAATTTACTTCAATTACGTGGATAAAAAAGAAGTATAACACTCCTAACTGTAACACTGCCCTAACCGAATCTGTCCAGGCGTCACACAATTTCCCTTTTGCATCTATTTTCAACGTGATTTGTTATCTTCGTTTATATTGGTTAAAAATCCAAGCGGAAATTATTTCGATAGGAAAAATATCGTGCACATTTGATATTTCACTTCTGAAAATCAGATAACGTTTGTTATTTCTCACCGCAGGGGAAATAAACCTTCAATAGAATTTATCATTAAAGTAAACTGTTTATTTGACGAATTCTTCAATCACAAATCGTCGAATACATTTTACATAATAAAATCTCACAAATATGACGCATATTGCGAATATCGCGATGGGAGACTGAATTGTGTTGTGTAAGGCAGTGTAATTGATTGGCAGATTTATTACCCTAGGCCTGCTGCGCATGTGTCATTATAACAAAATATGTCAACGCCGTCGCTGATTGTAGTCAAAGTATCTGTAGGCCAAATATTGGAATGACTTCCCCGAATGGTCACTAACTTAGTCCAATCGGGAACCGTCGGCACTTTCGATAAACCAAAAAAGACGTATCTATTGGATATCGTCGACCTTATTGGATAATGTCCGATTTGATACCAGCATTAATTTGAATAATTAAAATTTAAAAAAATGTTATAATAAAACTATTTTACAAACATTATGATTAAAGTTTGTCCAACTCATATGAATCACTCCTGTTGGTCCGGATGGAAGCGCGCTGTCAGTCTTTATGTGTCAGGAAACCGAAGTATGCAGAGAGCCACGTGGTCGGGCAGCACATTATCACTTCCGATCGGGGCACGAACCCTGGTCGTCTTAGTGAACGGTGAGTGCGCTATCCACTGCGCCACCCGACAACCCATTTAATGAAACCTTATGAAACACGAAATGTTCTAAGTTTGGACAACTTAGATAAGTTAACTTATGACTGTTTTTCACTGTCTAGGGGTCCTTCAATGTTTACCCGTCACTGAAATGATAATTTCATTTCTATTTCGTTAAGTTGACGCAGCCTAGAACATGGCGCTGTATAAAGTTCATGCACTACAAAATCATGGTAACGATCGGCATATAATGGTACGATAAACATGGTTATGAATATTGTACATGGCTATAATTGTGTTATTATCTTATGCATGTTCATGTTTGTCGGCCAAAACATGCCTCGAACCACATATGTATTTCCCAATGTGGTGTGAAGTATTAGGACCTCAAGGACGACATGCCATTAAATGGCAGGACCTGCGAACCATGCGTAATACACAGACAGACATCTGTCTTTGTGGTAAATAACATATGTGTGTATAGTCACGGAATATCAGGTCATCCCCCGAATGTATCACACATTATAACACCATGGGATTAAATGGCAATGTGTATAAGATCCATTGTCACATTGTCAATGCCAAGCGCGAGACGTCTTTTAAAGTTTCGTCCGTATTCGATATCAAATTGTAAAGCACATGTCTTTTTGCATAATGTTATGCCATAATGTGTTTTAAATATAACATAATCGATACTTATGGATTGTATTGAAACTGAAAAAAATACATGTACATGGAACGCCATAACTGATATAGACAACAGATCCCGTGGTACCTTTAGTACTGAAGTAGTACCCCGACCCTCCCCCTCTCCCCCTCTCCCCAACACACATATTGTTAAGGGCCGATGTCGTGTTTAGCCAGTAACAGTACCGTATCGCCTGACCATGGCCAAGTGTTGATTTGTGTACGGCTGAGTAGAGATGAATAGAGAAGGAAATATAATAATCGATACACTAATCGTAAACACAAAACATGTTAATGAAGTATTCCCATGTAGTACATAAAAGTACAGGCATGAATCACGCATCGGTGTTTTGTTCCGGTGGACATGGAAATGATGCTTTGATTGGCATGTTGAATGCCTGTTGTATGCCTGTTGTATGCCTGCTCATTTGAATAGAAGCGAAGTGGAGCCTTTCCATGGGGTCCTCCAATATTGTGCAGAAGGGATTTGTTGTCATTGGAGATGGGTTCGTGGTGATATAAACATGTACTTTAAGAATCACCTTCTACAGTAATTGGCAACACTGCATGCTGTGGTTTTCTAATTGGTTTTCTAGTATCGCGGATACCTAGATGTCAAGAGAGCTGATTGCTACTTTATTCTTACATAACCAACAAGTGTTTGAAAAACGCTCCTATTTACCTGTTGGAAACCAATTTTACCGGGTACGTTTTAGCAGGCCTTTTTACACTATAATCGAGAAAGGGCGTTCACATGGAAAGGCTTCTGCCCAACCCTTTGCTCATTGCAATAACATTTTAACAAAACTACTATAATTCACTACATGCTAGAGTACGGTAGCTCATGTGCTGAACATAGAAATTATACTAAACCTATTCAAATACATGTAAAAGTAAGAGATTTGTGGACACACAGCGTGCTCTAGTCTATAGCAATTACATTGCTAACCAAGAAAAGGTATGTGTTTGAGATATGTCCTGTTGTTACTTTAGGAGATATTATGAGACGTTTCAGGATTCTAAGTCAACACCCTAAAATGTCTTATAATACTCCTAACCATCAGCAAATGTATCAAAAATACTTCTTGTGTCTAAAGCTCAGTTCCCCAAAAAGCCCCTAGTGCGTACAGCGAAAATATACAGGCTTACTTAAATGGTCTATGTAGATTGCGATGTTGATACGGATTATGTAGTCGGAATATCGAAGTATAAATTTCAATCCACGCTTGCATAATGTTTTGATTGATGCCCTGAAGTGATTAAACACCACTTTCTAATCATCCGAGTGGGTGAGGTAGTAAGGGAGTCATGGTTTTGTTGGCGCTTAGCGTTACCATTGTAAGATTACAGATAGGATCATCAAGATGGTGGTATCTTGTAAGGAAAATTTACAGCCTTGCGATATCTTTTACCGGAATATATATTGCCGTTTTCCATTAAGTTGTGAGACAAAATCAAAATTTTGGATTAAATTCTGAGTGCGTTGTTTAGGATCTGATCGGAGTGACAGATCAAGCGATGTTTGAAAGTCGTTTCTCAACACCTCCCCTCTGTTACGCCATACACAAGTATCTCTGAAACTGCACAATCTACAGAAATATCACTTCACCTACAAAAGATACGTTGATATGGGCGTTAACTTCCACATCTGACGGGGCACTTAGGTAAGAGTTTCTCGAGATATGGAAGGAATTTTCTTCGAAAATCTGGACGCAAAGGATCCAGAGAGGTCTGAGGGGTCATGGAATCCGGTCCGTTAGTCCATCACAGGGGACTAGTCCCGAGTTTACACATCGCCCGCGATTGGGTCTGTTCAGTGTTTGCACTAGCTAGCTACTGTGTGTCAGACCTGCCAATTACTAAGTAGACATACATTATATATGTGTTTTACCGGGTGTGCTGTGATACTTTCATAGATAGGCCTTCTGTTCACATGACGTTACAATGTAAGGATGGCACAAATACTACAAACAAAAACAGCAAATAACGTTTTTGGTTGTTTTCATATGCTTTCTAAAACCATTTTGACAAAACGTTCGACGCGGTTCTCAGGGTCTGTCATTTCACTTTGTCAACACGTTCACGGTGACTTACATGCATGTACAAACATTTGACCTCATGTATTCTGTAATCTTAAAACAATAAAATTGCGTTCTTGCTTCTTTTGTGAACAAAAATTGGTAAAACATTTGTTGATGCAATTTCGGTTTTGATCAATTGTGCCGAATACAATACACTGCAGTCAAACCCCAATTTGTCGAAAACAAAACAGTTGTATTTGTTCCGAAATATGCTCGAGTCTTATTATTGGTGAAGATATATATTTATATATATTGTAAAAAAAAAAAAATTCTTAACAACGAGTTTTTAGTACTTTCATCTCTTCTAGGAGACTCTTCAGACTGTTTATTTGAAGTATTTTTGTGACGTCATAAACTACGACGTCACATAATAGTTCGCTATAGCGACGTCCATATATATATATAACCACATTTAGTTAATATTCATGTTTCTAAATAAGTATTCAGTTGTTGATTTATTTTCTGTTTTCAGATTCCGAAAGCCCAAACTCCCAACCTTGGAAGTTCTGGAGGAAGTTTAGTTTACGGCGGAAACGGGACCAGAAGTTTGACTGGGGCCAATTTGATTCTACAGACGGCCCTCCAGGGGAGAGAGATAAGTCTTTGTTCAGAAGGAGTAATAGTTTGAAACCTCCCCCGAAACCTCCCCGTCTCTTCATCTTCCGGTCGTCGTCCATCAGCACACCACGGAACTCGACTGTGATTGGCGGATCGTCCGACCGGAACTCGTACGTCATGTCACAAGCCTACCAAAACAACCGAACCAAGGACGGTAACATACCAACTGCGCATGTCGCTCCGGTCAGGAAAGAGAACGGCGTGAGTTGCAATTCTTCAGACAAAAAGAAAATGTCGGAAAACAATAACATTGAAATCAGTAAACCTGTGTTACAGAAAACGACTGTTAGTAAATTAGACTCGGAAATTTCTAGCCTAAACTCGAGTATGACTTCCAGTAAAATAAAAATAGTGACACCGGACCTTACCCCTCGCCGAACGCTCACGCGCAGGAAAAAGTCGACTGGCTCTGTTGAAAATGAGCGACACCGAGTGATTTTACAAAGTGCTTCTGAACTAATATGTCAAAAACTTGATCCTTCTGAATTCCTGGACGAGCTGCATGCTAAGCAGGTGATATCTTCCGTGGATTTGCAAGCGTTCCGCGGACACCCCGACAGACGACTTGTGTGTGAGAGCATGATCCACGTCATGACCGACGGAAAGCCCAAACAGTTTGATTCATTCTGTGATATTCTTCGGGCTAGTGAAGCTTACCGCGACATAGCTGTGATAATGGACGCTATGAGAGACGTGTACAGCGTCATATCCGACATTCCGTGCCCCATCGTGGAGGACAGTAGTACTACGGTAGAAGAAGAGAAGACAATCAACTTTGACGTCGGATATTACAACTGTGACACGGAAATTATGACACCGGTGATCCAGCTAGAGAAAGCAAGAGGTGACAGCAAACGTTTCTCACGGGACTCGACCTTCTACAAACGGTGTTCTCGGCTGTCCTATCACTCACTGACGTCATCTGATGCGCTTAAACTGGAAGACAACGATATGCGTATCACAGGAACGCTTGTCATTACTGTGTGTATATCCGGTTACTCTCTCCACGGGGAGAGGTCAAAACGACTGGCGGAAATGCTTGGCAAACACCCCTGCATATTAGAGCTCCATATCGGTAAAACACAGTTGTCAGGGAGAGACATTGGTTTCTTGTCGGAACCTTTACAGACCTCCCCTAACCTTTCGGTGCTAGACTTCCGCCTCAATTCCATTGGTAATGAAGGTGCTAAAATGCTGGCTACCGCCTTACAAAAGAACACCAGCATACGACAGCTAAACATGTCCTCAACCGGGGTGGACAGCGAGGGGTGCAAACACTTGGGCGAGGCCCTAAAACACAATCACGGAGTGACTGACTTAGACATGAGTTTCTTAGACATCGCCGACAACGGATGTATCAGTCTAGGAAATATGCTCAAACAAAACAAGTCACTGAAAAAGTTGCGACTGCGCAGTGCAAACATTTCCTGGATTGGTTGTGGAATTTTATTCGAAGGTGTTCAACAAAGTAGGACTCTTACCGAACTGGATCTTAGTAGGAATTTTATCGGTGATGATGGGATGGAAATGATGTGTCGTCACCTGAACGACAAGTCCACTCTGGTGGACCTCAATTTGGAAAACTGCGGCATCACTTCCGGTGGATGTGCGATGCTTTCTGACGTCATTTTAATGAACAAAACATTGCATCACTTGGACCTTAGTGTTAATTTCATTGCCGACGCTGGTGTTTTAAAGATATCCAACGCCTTAGAACGTAACAAGTCGATCAAAACTCTCGGCCTGAATATGTGCGGGATAACAAATGATGGATTTTCGAAAATTCTTGATATTTTGGAATGTAATCCAACCTTGACCTTGCTGAAATTGTGCTACAATAGACTAGGTCGCGAACATAACAACCCTTCCGCAACCTCCGACGACCTTCGCTACCGTGTTCGTATTGTAACATCATCAAATCCTAAACTTAAGTTATTGCTGTGGGGAAACGCATTTGACGAAGCGTGATGGATAATTATTAGGAATGTCTTTTAATCAGGAACATGAGATGTGGAACATCTATTAATCGGAAATTCTCACAATTTTCAATGAGACACGAGATTATTGAATTGTTCATGAGCTTTCTCATATTATGGCCGTTTCGATTTGTGAGTTAATGAGAAGCGCCTTAGTTCAGTCAGAATAGCAGGGATCGTCGTAACCAATGATCGTAGCAGCTAAGTACGTGAAAGTAACCATTCCACACGTTTTCGGAACTTATGTGTGGTCTGGATATTGTGTATAACGTATAGCTGGTTTACTGATCTACTATTGAAAACAAAACCACATTGTCTGTTGTTGTTAGGAGAACCTCTTTCCCTCAAATCTTCAAAGCAAGTTTCGGAACTGTTTGGGTGCTTTTGAAGTTTTGATGAAGAAAAGGGCGTTTTCTTAATGCTCCGGAACGTAACATGTGTTCGCCCTTTGCAGGCAAAATTGAAATGATCGATCTTGCCAAGATTTTCTGTAATTATCATTATATTAACTCTGGGCATCATACATCTCATTACTACCATACATCGTTAATGATATGAGCATTTAGTTTCGGTCAGATTTTAGACATGCCTGCCATTCTAACATTCTTGCGTACGCTCGATATACACCATGGCAGAAACTTTCTTAATTTTACCAAACCAACGAACATCGTATCACGAACTCCATTATTTAAAACACCATCTGCAACATAATACTCCAAAAGTACACTTAATGAAAAATCGTTAATTTCTTAAAAACCTCAAGAAATTGAATTAAAACTTTGAAAGCGTCAATTGCATCACTACTCAGAATCCTGACCAATCAGAAACTCCGAACATTTACCGATCACTAAATACCCAGAATATTGACCAATGAATAACCAACCAGAACATTGACCAATCACTAAGTATCAGAACTTTGACCAATCACAAACTTCAAAGAATATTGACCAATTACTGACAACCCAGAACATTGACCAATCACTAACTTCCAAGAATATTGGCCAATCACTAGCTTCCAAGAACATTGACCAATCACTGACAACCAATATCATTGACCAATCACTGACAACCCAGAACATTGACCAATCACTAACTACAGAGAATATTAACAAATCACTAACTACCCAGAACGGCAGTCTATATGACTGAACCAATGTGTACTAGTAATTACTGACCAAAATGATAAATAACATTGCTTTGAAAATTAGAATTTTGGATATAGAATACAACAAATAAACTGTGCCAGAGAGTATTCAAGTGATATGACACTAGCTGAGCCGCTTGAAATACTGACTCAAAACAAGCAGAACTCCAAATACACGCACACATCTACAACGTTCCACGCCTCGTTAGCTAGATCTCTTACTATTTCGTGGATACATTTAACAGAAAAAGAGTTGTTATCACTATACTTGAATTCACGGCTTAAATACAGGCCTCATAGAGTCAATATAAAATAGTATTCGAGAGATCATTGTTTATTAGAACTCCTGCAATCGCTACCTTGAGTCGCTACATACTAGAGTACTCATCGAGTCAATACGTAATAGTACCCGCTAAACGATGCATTTAAGAACTCGATATCGCTACCATGATTCACTCAATGTTCGTGTACTGGTATAATGAATACTTGCTAGCACTCGTAAGTCAATGTATACAAGTACTAGAGTTACTGCATAATCTAGTACTCGCCAAGTCAATACATACTAGAACTCTTAACTCACTGCCATGATTGGTAGAATGAATACTAGTACTTGCTAGCACTCATAAGTCAATGTGTCCCAGAACACAAAGTCATTACTCCGAGTCACTTTATACTGGTGTGTACTCATGGAATCTGTGAACTCTGGTTCTACAAAGAGTCACTTATAATTGATTGCACCCGTACAGTACACATGGTGTCAATATATACATGTACATACTAGACTCAAAACATATTTGAATACATTGTATATTAAAATCAACACATACTAGTACATAATGCATATGAGTCACTACATGTTACAGTCAAAAGTACACCTTGAACTACTTACGATATACTAGAGTCACTACGTATAAGTATATAATTATTGAGTCGTTATATTACGTACTGGAGTCAATGCATCCAAATTAATATTGAGTCACTACATATTCAAGATGATAACCGTGCAGTCAATGCATAACAGTAGATATTGAGTCACCATGTAATCTAGAGCCAATACATACTAGTACACATGATGGAGTCCGCCTATACTTGTTGTGGCATATCCTCATATACGTCCTGTTCCAGCTCGTCAATGTATACACGCCATTGAAATGATTAAAATTACAAAGCATTGAAATGGATATAAGTCAATCATATCTTACATTAAAAAACCCCCACAAATATCAAGCTACTTTGGAAGAAGGCTGAAAGCCTAGTGCATATTTTGCTATATTGGCTTCTGTATTTACTTGTACTTGATATTTAACACCGATTACCCTTACTGCTTAGCTTCTTAATGTGCCTACCTTGTATTTATCATAACAAACACAAACATGTGGTTTATTTGGAATTAAATTGTGTATACGGCTTTACGTACAGTGTGTAACTAGTACTACGATATTACTACTATACAATGATGTAATTTGTATAATGAAGTTACTAGTATTACATTGTTACTAGTAGTACCATGTAACTAGTAATACCATGTAACTAGTACTACATTGTTACTAGTAGTACCATGTAACTAGTAATACCATGTAACTAGTAATACCATGTAACTAGTAGTACCATGTAACTAGTACTACATTGTTACTAGTAGTACCATGTAACTAGTAATACCATGTAACAAGTAATACCATGTAACTATTAATACCATGTAACTAGTACTACATTGTTACTAGTAATACCATGTAACTAGTAGTACCATGTAACTAGTAATACCATGTAACTAGTATTACGATATTACTACTATACAACGATGTAATTTGTATAACAAAGTTACTAGTACTACATTGTTACTAGTAGTACCATGTAACTAGGACTACTATGTTCAGTGTTACTAGTTCTACAATGATACTTCTACATCAATGTAACCTGTGTAACAATGTTACTAGTACCTCATTGTTAATAGCACTATAATGTAACTAACACCTCAATGTGATTAGATCTGCAATGTTACAAGACCAACAATGTAACTGGTACTACAATGTAACTATTTCTACAATGTAACTAGTACTACAATGTAACTAGTACTACATTGTAACTAGTACTACAATGTTCAGTGTTATAGAGCTATGATGTTTCTAATGCTATTATGTACAGTATTACTTATACTACAAGGATTATTTAAGGATTGAATTATGTTTTGTAGAGGTTTATGGGGTATAAACCGCAATTGGTCTTGAGACAAATTTTATGAACTGCAAAGCAGTTCATTTTGAATTATTCTCAAGACCCATTAAGGTTTATACCCCCATAAACCTCAACAAAATGGGATTCTATCCTTATATTTACATTCAGAGAGATATTGATATTTGTTCGGATAATTTCTAAAATATCGGTCTTGTGCAAGTCTAACACCAAGGAAGGTATCAACACTTATGACGACATCACTCACTGTGAGACGTCGTCCTGGTAAGATGAATAAGCGAATTAAGATGTAAATTATTTTTTTGAATTCAATTGAATACTTCTGACAAAAAATAAATAAATTGAAAACAATCTATGAATGGAACTACTTCCCGCGCTCCGCGGAATAACAGAGTAATCAGGTTGATAATATACTGATGTATTCATACGCCAACTGAAAAGTTCATTGAAACATAACCTTTAAAATGTTAATTAGGTATATTGAGTCCAAGTTCAGTAGAAATGTAAATATTGTTACTTGTACTACAATGTAACTAATACAACAATGTTCAATCTTATTAGTTCATTGTAACTAGTACTACTATGTAACTTGTATTACAATGTAACTCGTACTACAGTGTTATTAGAACTACATTGTTCTTTGTTGTTGCTAGAGGTACATTTCTCACTTCCAATACCCCGGCTACAGCAGTGTCATGCATTGACGTTGGTATCTTCAGTATTGTTAGCTTAAGTTGCTCATAAAACATTAATAATAGTACTGATAAAAACTAAATTTGTTCATTCTATAATAATAAACCATCATATGTTCGTGTCATAACAACATACATGGCAGCTGTATATTGATGGGAATTTCAAAAAGGGTATCCTATCCCTCCTATACCCATTGTCAACCTGCCTTATCTGGGGTATAGAGGATTTATATCACATATTGATGTATCAATATTTCCTTCGTATTTATATGCAGATCCAAAACTATTGTTACAAACATCAGGATGCTTTCTGAAAAGCATGCACCTTGTGATAGAACTAGGGAATCGGTCTGATTTAGGCCGCTCTGTCTGTCGACATGCCGTCCCCGTATAAAAAGTGAAAGGTGCATACATGCATTTCACGTGCACATGAAATGTTTACGAAACGGGCTCCTGTCGGGTCTGCCTTGTGTAATAACGTTCACAAAGAGATGAATGGCCATGAATCACAAGGAATGCTCTGCAGATGTAAATTCTGCGTTTTTGTATTCCCCGTCTTATCTACAAAACTGCTGATTCCACCATCTTCTGTATCGCCTTAATGTTTGTTATAGTACCGGTAATATAACTGATAAAGCCATATTTCAAAAGCAAAACAAAAAGGTGGAAGGTTTCCATGGGGACCATTCTAAAAGCAAATAATTCGTTATGCCATTATGAAAGTTAAAAAGTGAAATCGTTACATAAGACAAACCTGTAAATTATATTCATTGCATTTTGGTCCTTATCTATTTGTATTGGGAGAATATCTAACCTTTGACCTCTGTTCTGTAGCCGAGTTCATTTCTTCGTGGAATTCTGTCTGTTTATAATACCGTTATTTTCGTTGAGACAGAGTTTCATATGTATAATCATATGTATGGCAAAATGTCATGTCGTTTTTAAATTAATAAAACAGTTCAAAACGTCTAATTGATTGTGTGTCTTTTGTTATTAGGCAAAAAAAACACCAATTATGTATGTTTCAGGTAACATGACTAAAAAAATCGGGTTGGTCGGTAAGGATTGGTTTCTCTTTCTTGAGAGTTGGGGTCTTATAAATAATAACATTGGATTTAAAATCGGTTTTAATACCTACAATGTACCTAGGAAGTAGAGAGGTTATAAATATAGTTACCTTGTTTGTTGTTGGTCCATCAATTTGTTTGCATTTGATGGACAAGTTGTTCCAACACTGGATGGAGCGCGTTTGAGTGAGTTAAAATTGTAAGGGTCGGACGTAAAAACTAGGATCGGTCGGGGTACATAAAACATACATGACTTTTGGGGCCTTAACACAACACTTGTATCCTTCACAAACCTGTACAAATTTTAGACTTAAACGAATCCGACTGGACCATCAAATACCATTTTGAGTTTCACGAAATACAATTGTCTGTGAATGATGTCATTATTCGATTTACAAATGATTTATTTGCTTTTTGGTATCAAAATAAGTCGAAACAATGAGAGAAGCTACGATTCCTAGTTATGATCGAAAGGAGCAATAGTCTGCCGAACATTTGTCAAGACCACTCGTTTCGAATTCCGTCTTCTATCACAAGGTTCATCAACCCGTGTCCACAATTTAAAAATTCACAGAACACACTATCGATAAAATAAATCATCTACCAGCTAAAAAGATATAGCAATTTAACATGAAAACCATAAATGCTATATTTATATCTGTGCAAAAAACGCAAAAGTAGAAGATTCGTGATCAGAAATTTTACATGTCGGGGAAATTCCAAACTTGGTTCTTGGCCATGAAACAATGACGGGAACCAAATTTAATCATATCAATACGAATAAACTAAAATCGTGGTACAACGTTTTCGTGATAATATAGAAGATTGGTTGATTTGGCTACAGTTGCACAAACGTATTTCTAAAATGAGCGTGTTCGCCGACACGATTACGCATTCTTGCCGAAGGAGCCAGACGGCCATGTCCGGTACCGGCTTCTGACTAGATTTACCAAAGAACTCATGGATTGCGGTAACACCTATAGCTACAGACACGTGCAATAATTAATGATGTCCTGGCGTGATCACGTAAAACGTACGCCGCGTGCGTGTTGTCTGCAATCGTCATTCCTACCTGCAGTCTAACAGAGCTGTAACTCGCCTCGCTGGTGATGATGCACGTCGTCTGCCGAGGGTACAGTTGGGGAAACCTAGAACCCGTCACTAGTCATCGCACACGCGCCACGTGTGGTGTCGGAAACACTTGCCATGTTATAATATCCATTAGTCATTATACAATTAATGCCCTCATTATGGGGCGACATGACGATTTGACCACCTGAGGGTCGTTATGTCACCCGAGGGCGAAGAGTATAAAGAGGGCAACATTGTTAACTTTGTTTTATAAAAGCATTGTTCTGATGTGGCACATATGCACTTCACGGAGAAACTCCAATAGGGTTCACCATACATACAATAGTTCACCATTGTACCGACACAATTCTGGCAGAAATACATACCGATGCTCACCAAAGTTCTACAAAAATAACACACAAAAAAACCCAAGGAAGACCATCTTCAAAATCAGAGGGTTTTGCACTCGATTTTAGCAATGAATGGTTTAGCAATTGCTGTTATGGTCCTTTATAACACATTTCTATTGCTGACAAACTTACACAAAGCCCGGGTATGGTCCTTTAACTCACATTGCTATTGGTGACAAACTTAATAAAGCCCGTATTTGCTAAAATATTCTTTATTTATATTAACATTTAGTTGGCGTCACAATGCAGATTGATGACGGTACAATAGTAAATGTTGTTATAGTCTCACAACAACATTTGCCTTTTCAATGCATCGCAATTGAAGGACGCAGAACACACGTACATATATGGATTTCTTCTCTTCACTTCGATATGTGTATCGAATGCAGTTACCTTAGATTTCGAAGATGGGGAAGACCGATAGAAATAAATGCTGGTGCTAGGCCAAAGGAATAATTATGTTTGAGAATATGATTGTGTCGAGGAGGGCGTACACGTGATCGACAACGTGAATTCAACAAGATAATATATAGCATATATCTTAAAATTTTCCTCTAGTAATTAATTTGGTATTTGAGCTCCCAATCAACGTATTTTCGTTTATTCTATTTAAAAATTGAAGTCATATTTTATTTTTATTATTTCCGTCAAACAGTTTACATGCATTAAATTAATTGATTTCAATTTCCGACTTCTATAAAATCAAAGATTCTCGGGTGTCACGGAAGAGCGTCCTTCAGTTCCAGAGCCTCATTATCACCTGGGCAGACGGCGTCGGGAAGACGACAACTTTCGTGATGGCGGGAACTCAACAATTCTGTAACAGAATCCAGCCCGTTTATGGTCTATATCGGTACAACCAGATCAACATCTCAACGGAATTGATTTTTTATAGAATTGCATGGGCGCATGACACGACATACTGGCACTAGAAGTTAGAGTACGATGTTATATAATCTCGAGTAAAGACCTGTTCCAACCAGGGTTCCGTGAGTCATTCTCCAATATCATGTAGGCAACAGTTAGAATTGGCGATTACTTTCTCTGTCAGTTCCGACATCCATACAGTGAATCCAATATCCAACTCCACATATTGATTATGAAAATAACAGTTGCAGTTTGGAAAGAAATCAATTACTAAACAGTTTAGATCGCACTTTAACGGTCAAAAGCATGAGTAGGCTATGCGAAGTGTTATAATAACTAATTACGTCATCAATTAAAACTGCAGTTTCTAGAGTTTGATTTTCGTTGTGTATGGTTGTGTCTGACACAGGTTCCTTTGTACAGCATCAAAGTACCTGAACCGTGATGGACTGAAAGTGAAAAAAAAAGTATATTTCTAATAGAATTTTAAACCGTTTATATATTAATAAGGATCGTGCAAGACTATCAATCTGTAACTATGTTGTACTCAAATAAAACGTCGCATTGGTACCATTCGAGCAAACCACGAGCACTCGCCTCGTCTGTCTATTGACAGACGAGGCTAAAACCTATGATCAAACAGTACATACAAAATTCACATTTCTTTATTATTATAAACTTAACAATTGCAGAAAAATATTTCATCATGTCATAATGTAAAACCAAAATGGCAGACGTGTGATGGGTATAACAATAACCAGCAGGGGACGGGATGTGAGTGCTCTTCGTGGCAGCCGTCTCTGTGATAGTTCGGAATACCTTTTGGTATTATTGATCAAGACATTTGACATTTTCATCCACAGTGTAATGTTGTTCAAATGGTCTTTGCAAATCTCTGATGGCTTTAAGCGAAGCGCCGAGGAGAAGATTTAAAATCTCTAACCTTAATTCGGTTAACGCGCTGATTTACAACACGCGTCGTTTCATTTCAACCGGCCTGACAGAACAAAAACTTAAGAAAAGCAGCGACGCCACGAAGACACTAAAATGGAGCTCTTTATTGTGGGTTTATTTTATACATTTTATTTTACCTTCCTTGATTATTTACAATATTTTTTCCCCTCCACTTATATATATTTTTATCCCAGCGTTATAATGGCTTCAGTGGTGCTTAGAAATATCGTTGCCTGTGTAATCCTTTTTGCTGTTGACAGTTACTGGCAGATAGTATAACAAGCTAGTCTTAACAAAGGTTCAAGTAAAACAATATAAATAGTTTCTAGTGCATAGCACAAGAACAGGTTATTTACCGATCTCTACTTAGAAATACGTCTGTCTGAGTCACCTCGTGCTGTCGGTAGCTACTGGAGTAGGATATAATAACCATGCAGATTGCCTTGACAAAGCCTTAAGGATCCATATGTACTGTTGCAGGCAAACTACACGATAATTCCACTGTAGTTGTTCGTTCATAAAACCGTACACTATGTAGCTTAGTTGGTAAAAGCAACTATAGATCGGGGGTCCAAGGTTCGAATCCTGGTTTGGTGCCCTCGTAGTTTTACACTCAGAACACTGTTGATGGTTCTCTTAGTTTATTTCATCTTTACTATTTTTTCATATAAAAAGTTCCGCAAGATGTGACTTTATTTCAAGAAATGATTTCTTAAAGCTTTAGTCTATATCAGAGAAAATAGTTTCCACTGCGCAAGTACAGATGTTGGCAGTGAAACGATGATCCTTAAAGTAAAAGTAAAATAATATAAATAGTTTGGGGTCTATAACATAACAAACAGGTCCCTGTATCTACAGATCGGTACACGTGTTTGTGATTTAGCGCGTGTCTGTTGTAATTATTACGTACACACGAGCAGATCAGACGCAGGCTTACATCAACACGTGGTTTTACATGCTAGTACGGTAGATAACCCAAAACTTAATTCTGAACTCTGTCGTAGAGAGTCATTGAGAAAATACATAATCTGAAACAAATATGTAGACTACCAGATTAAAATAACAAAGGAGAAACTATACGTACTACAGTGTCAACACACAAAGAAATAGTTAGACTCTAGAAGATAGACAGGAATCGAGGACATACGGAAACAAAAGGAAAAACAACATAAATCGACACCGAAAACTTATTTTTACCGTTCTAAGAGCTAATTTCACATACAGAAAAAACTTGGACTTTAGTTCATACATACAAACAGACAGGTATTTAAGAGGCACCAAAACAGATGGAAGGACAACATGGCCGCACTATATAACCCTCCCTATGTTGATATGGAAACCAAATTCTTAGTAATCCGAGTAGACATACTTTCAAATAGGTCCTAAGATACTGCAACATCACAACATCGCGCGCAGCGTCTTGCATGCATAATGATCCTGTGTAATTGGAAAACCTGTTTATTTCAAAGGAAACAAATATACTGCGATATCATGTATGATTACCTGGTGCAAAATTTTCTCTGCATACGTTTAAGGTGTTCACACGATTCCAGATAACGATTCAATATTAATTGATAGAATTTATTGGCAAAAACATGAT